CCTAGAAGGCCAACTGCATCTTTGCTTGTAGTGCAGTCAGCAAAACTAAGAAGGTGATTGTCCCTCTGTACTTGGCACTAGTGAGGCTGAACCTCAAGTACTGTGTTTAGTTTTGGGTCTCTCACTATAAGAAAGAAATTGAGGCTCTGGAGTAATTCTAAAAAGGACAACCAAGCTGGTGAACAGTCTGGAACATAAGTCTTATGAAGAGCAGATGAGGGAACCTCTTTCAGGAGGCTGTAGAGAGTGATAAGGTCTCCCCTGAGCCACCTGAAAGGAGTATGTAGAGGAGCGGGATTTGACCTCTTCTCCCAGGTAACTAGTGATAGGACAAGATGTAATGGCTTTAATTGCACCAAGGGAGGTATAAGTGGATATTAAGAAAAAAATTTTCTCAAAAGAGCACTGAAATATTGGCACAGGCTGCCCAGGGAAGTGGCAGAGTCACTGTCCCTGAAGATTTTCAACAAAAGCATAGATGTGGCACTGAGGGACATGGTTTAGTTGGCATGGTGATGATAGGTTGATAGGTTGATGGTTGGACAAGGTGATCTTAGTGGTCTGTTCCAACCTTAATAATTCTATGGTTCTATGATTTAAAATCTGTTCTTTTTCATATATTGTAAGGCTTTATCCTTGAATAATACATTGGATTTTCCAGTGCATTTTGTGTAATTTGCCTTGTTCATATATTTCATGTATGTGTAGAAGTGACATTATTTAAGTAAGTTCATGTGAAATGTAAATAAGTGAGACAGCCAAAAATGTATTTTCTCTGCCATTTTTATATTGTAGAATGCAGTGTCACTTCATATTATTTTCCATTATGATAATCTTATTTTAAAGTTGACAGTCATGATTTAATACATTTGAAAAAGCTTAGAAGTGAGAAGTATACTTCAGCTACTTGTAGGAAGCCCCCCTCTCAGCATTTTGACTGTCAGTATTTTGATTACAAAAGAATACACACAACTTGTATAATAATACACAGTAGTCAGCAAACCTGACATCAGTTAGTCAGATGAAACAATAATGACTATATTTTAGTTCAGTGTGAGTTCTGTTATTCATATGATATCACCAAATTGCAAGCATAGCCTTTCATAGAAAATCTGAATCTTTGTAATGTATTATTTATGTTTTCTCTCTAACCAATGGTCACGTTATAATTCACCTGTGATAAGGGTAAAAATATTCAGAACAAGCCATTAAAAAAGCATTTACCCTAAGCCATATTCAGAGTACTGAGTGAAAAATAACTTCTGAATTACCTTCTTTCATGTGCCTATAACTCATACCAAAGAATTTGCAAACTAGAACTGCAGCAGTGTATGTATTTTTCATCTACAGTAATGGAAAATTATTGTTTTATGGGTCACTTATCAGTACTTCTTTCTGCACACCCAGTATTATAGAATTGTTTCCATAAGGAGGTTGAGAGCACTGTTAAAATTTCAACCAAGAATTGACTTACACAGGGACTAAACCTAGTTAATGTTAAGTTAGGAAAAAAAAAAAAAAAAAAGTAGAAGAGTATATATAACTGCTTCCTTCTTTGGATTTATCCTCAGGTGTTGCAGCCCTTTCTACCCTAGGCATGAAGGATGCCATAGGCATCTCAAACCTCTGCTCCCTCTTTTTGATGATGCTCAAGTATTATGGAAGAGATGATTTGAACTATTCCCTGTGGAGTACTCTCCATGTGCCACTAAAACAAAGAAGCAGGGAGGTAAGATAATCTTTACTGTGAGCCAGAAGAAAATTATAGGCTATCTACAGGTAATGTATAAGTTATTATAGCTTATCTATTTTTGTTCTGGTGTTGTTAGCTGCACAAGATCTAAATCTAGTCTTGATTTCTACTAAACAAAGCTAATAAAAGACCATTCATCTAGAAAAACAGTTGGTAAGTATATACCAATATATACTTCAATATTTGAAACAATCCTATAAATGAAAGAAAATATCTACATCCTTAAGGGGATCACTTTAACACAGTCCACTTCTTTGAATACTGATTCAGTTCTGGGGAAGACAATATCTGTGTTCAAAATCAATTTTGTTTCAAATGTATTGGAAAGACTTTCCACTTAACAAAGCTCCTAACTTTCCTGGTCTTTCACCATAGTGTCTACTCATCTTCCCCACATGGAAACTTTAGCTGGGTTCCTGAGTACTACAAGTGAATGCATAATATAATGGTCTTTCTTGGTCTACTTACTAGGAGAACAAATATACTTGGGGTTCACATTGCTAGTGTTAGATAAATATGAGGAAACAATTGAATACCTATATACTTCCTGTTTCTTTTGGAAATATTCTTTTTGTTAAAATGCACCTTCTACCCTGTCTGTCCATGGTAACAGTAATAATATCGAAATAATACAGCTGCTAAACAAGTGCATGCATTTTATGCACCACTATCTCTAAAAGGTGAAATATTCGGTACCACAAGATACTGCAAAGTTGTAGTTATCTTAGTATAGTACTACTAGCATTTTGAGACTGTATGTAACAAATCACAAACTCTGTCTGGTATATATAATAAACCTTATTATACCCTTGCTCTAAAATTCACTTATTACCAAGAAAATGAACGGTGTGGTAATATTCTTCTGAAATACTTCTCTTTAGACAAACCATGGATATAGGTCAGCTGCCTTTTAAAGCAATCTTTTTCATCATGCACAGTATATGGCTGCAGTATCTACAGGACTACCTGCATCTGGTTTGCTTAGACTTTTATGTATGTTTGCTGTTCATAAATTCTAGACAACAAATGGATGCTGGAGGGTTATCCCTATTTTGACATTTAGTACAGCTACCAGATTTCTAATTCTCCAAGTGTATAAAGATACATCACAAATTTTGAAAAATTTAAAACATTAAGCATTATGAACAATGAATAAAACCTTTGAATATGACAGAAACAGCTGCATGCTCTTCAGTTTAACAAACTATCCTGTGCGTAGCTGTAAGAGTAGTATTGTAGTTGTATTACAGATGAAGACTGCTACATGAAAATGGCAAAGGAGAAGATGGTCTCAGTACATAAACTCATCCAGTTGTAATGATTTACAGAAGAACATAATAAATGCTCTACAAAAATCTAAAAAACTGGGGAATCAGGAACCATTTATTCATTCCAAAGCAGCTCCATTATATGGAGCCACTTACCCAGAGACTGTGGCAAAGTCTCCGTTGAATTCTTTATGATTACATTCCCTTTGGAAAGTAACATGTTATTTTCATGGTAACTGAACTGCTACTGAAAGGAATATTTATAACTGGAAATGAAGGTAGGAGGAGGAATTTAATGGTAGTGAAACAGGAGAAAAATCATGATTTTCAGGTTCACCAAAAAGCTTTGAGTTTTTTCTGGCTTTCATGATAATGGAAATGACTTTCCACTGTAATGAATGGCTATTTTGTTGGATTAAGCATAAGTTTTTAATGTAATGCAAATAATAAACCAGAGTCAAATTAAACAATTTTTTAGGTCTGGGAAATTTTCTTTCAGGCTATTTCATGTGAAAGGATTGAAAAATGTTTTAAGTAGTTGGAGAATATACTCCATTTCAACTGATGTGAAGGGTTAAAGCAATAACAGTAACTACTTTATGAACTTTCCATGGTAGAAACTGTGAAAGAGCCCACAGTTAATTCTCCTCTAATTAATACAGCTAACACAAGCCATTACTGCAGACAATAATTTGTAGTAGAAATAAAAACAAAATCATGTAATTTGACATTTGATGTCAGCGATCTTTGCATAGTTGTATTTCCATGTGACATTTGACAAGTCAGACAGTATCAGCTTCACTGATAACAACCTCTTGATACACTTATTTTTGAAATAAGCAAATGTTTCTTCAAAGCACAGTGCTGGAATTATTTTTTGCAGAACTCTTTTACATTCAGCATAAAATCAAATAATGAATTATGCTCCTGAGACTGTTTTCAGACTCAGAACAGTTTTCCTTCAGCCAGAAGAAAATAATTTAATGGATGAATCCCATTTATTGATCTACACTACTTACCTTTTTCCTACACAGTTTCAATAAAAAGTATTAAAGATTTCCAGATTTTAAAGAGTGCTCTTGTTCAGAAAACTGTGCACATTTGATCTATCAAAATATCTTTTAATAATTTATTCTAGTATTTGTTTCATAACCCTATTAATCTGCACAAGTACATGAATGTTTACTTCTGCTTTACTTCTTTATGGCCACATAAATGCAGATGATTTTTTGGCATGCTATAAAGTGAGTTATAGTTTTATTCTCTTTAGGAGACCACAGCTGCTTTACTCAGAGTGATTAAAAGCAACATCAAGTAACAGATGAAAGAATATAACAAATAATATCAAATGGCTTTAAAAGAACGCTTCTCAGATATAACTAAGTGAATTCTCTTTAAGTGTGACATATGTACAGCAAACGGGCGGGAATGGATTTATTAGCACCTCTTTCAGATGAGTCACTCAAGACTTTAAAATCATAGAGAAATAAAGTCATGCATGCTAAATGCATGCTAATAAAACTTCATATACTCTGTACCACGTTCTTTCTTTCTTCAGATCCATCCAGTCAAGAAAGAGAAATATTTTTAATGAGAACATATTCACTGAAATTCCCATGCTAAACAGTACTTAGCTGGAAATAGTACTCCCTCTTTTTGAAAATCACATGGTGTTCATTAAATTCCTCAGGCCAAGTCTTCAGTACCTAATCACTTATAAGTCACACAGCACTTCCACTACCTTCAGTTTTGCTTCAGTAACTTCTGTAATAATATTATTACTATTACTTGCATTATCATTAACACAGATTTTGCTTTGTCTTTTCACATGATCAGACTGTAAGTGTGAGACACGTTATAACTCAGTAATGCTGACAGACATATATTTATGCTCCCTGATTATGTGCATTACATGTACCATGTAAGAAGTACAGTCATTTGAGTAAATATAACCCAAGGATTCATATTCAGTTGCCTACCTGTATGTGGTTCAATGGAAAAGTAAGGCTGTCCTTCCAGGATGCTATAAACCAGCTTGGCACTGTTTCCATAAACTGGATCATCTGCATCTGTAGCTGTTACTTTAGTAACAAAGGTGCCTAAATAGAAGGAATATGATTAATGTTTAAAGTCTTCCTAGATATGTGCATAATTTTTTCAAATTTTCAAATTATTTATTTGAAACTCTAAAGAAATGTGTGAGGTATACAACGACTAAAAATAAAGAAAATCCACAATATTAACCTAAAACAACATTCACTGAACTCAAATGAAACGTTTTCCTTCCAGATGATATATGCAAGCAGACTGAATTTCCCGGCAAAGGAAAAAACATTCTAGAAACCATATCATTTAAGGTTTCTTTGTAGAATGAATTTGAAGCTACCTGATATATTTGTATAGACTTCAAGAATCCTATCAAAGGGATATGAAATATAAGGTTAATAATATAATATAATATGCTACATTTAAGATTTGCAAAATTACATTTGAAAGAACCTTGCAAAGTTACCATGACTGCACAGAAAAGCAATAATAAAAGGGATTCTTTTTTTCTTCTCTTAGCTTGCAGCCATAGCAATGGTTTGATGTGGCCACAGTGACAGTGTAAGGACAACATTTATTGTTTCTGAAATGAGTTGTTGCCACTGAGGGGTCCACTGCCCAGCCAGAGTCATAAATTCCATACTCTATCCAAAAAATAAGGAAGAAAACTTTAAAGCAATTACCCTCTTTAGTTTTAGGCAACAAAGCATACTCAATTTATATAATTAGCAAAGCTGAATAAAACTCAGCAGGTTCTGTTAAGCTTGGTGCAGAAAGCTTTTTTCTAAATTTCTTTATTTTTATGATGACTTAAAAAGACAATGATGACATTAATTAGACCAGCAATAAAGACAGTCTCTATACTAGACAAGAGTAGGAAAGAGCTTAAAGGCAGAATGACGTTTCTCATGTTTAAAAAGGAAAATTCTTATAGCTCCCAACAAAATAATTTCCTTTTCTAGATGTGCCTGTAAAATGTCTCCTCTTCCTTCTTAAACTTTGTGCTGCTGAATCCAAGTTATACCTCCCTTTTGGGCAAGAACAGTAAACATAGAAGTGGAAGAGATCTCTTTGGCATGTTTTGCATTGTGCTCCTCTCTTCTTGTTCTGTATGTCACACTGCTGTCACGGTTTTGGACAGTTCTGAGCACTAGAGTGCATGCAAATTATTTGGAGAATATTTGCATATTTTGAGATAATTTGCATCCCAACCAATAGCTTCAGGATTTCAGGATTTCATACTTGTCCATTTCAAGCTGTAGGGCAAAATATATGGCTGACAGGATTTGGCTACAATGCTCATGGATTGGAAGTTCTGCAGAGCCTGAAGTTGTGGAAGGTTTGCTGCATGAGATAATTTCCAGGGGAGAGAATATGGGTAGAAGAGTGGAAGAAACATAGCTCATTAGAGAGGGGAAAAAAAAAAAAAAAGCCCATGCATTGTACTGGTCACTAATTTTCGCTACAAATTTATTCAGTCTTTCAAGAAGGAAAGATCATCAGCCAGCTGTCATGCAAGCTCTATTATGGCCACAACAGGCAAGAAAGTGCCCCAGCAGTTTCTCTCCTGTTGCTCAGCAGCATCCTGAAGAATCAAGGTGGCCTGCAGCAGTTGTACACAGTGTGGAAGAAGAATACAATGCTGATGAATATTAAATTGCTTCTGGCTTAGACAGATGTTTGCAGATTCTGTACATAAAAACTTCTATAGGTTATTGGTTTTGAGGCTTAACTATTTCTGATGTTGAAAGTTGGGCAGCCTACCTTTTAACCTCCCACTGGGCACAAGGAAAGGACTTTATCCTCAAGTTGATAGTTCAGTATTAACACTGGAAGTTTGTTCTCTGACCAACTACAAATTACAGAGAATGCCTGCAACAAATACAGTACCTACAGACTACAGATGATGAATGACATACAGGAGAAAAAAAACAGTGATAGGGAAACAACCATGGGCCACACTCAGAGGCCATCATGCAGGCTACAGTAAACGAATGAAATGAGTGACAATGGAAAAGAAGTATGTATGAAGCCTGAATTTGGATACTGCAGGACCAGAGGAACAAAAGGATCCTCTGTGCCTTGACCACGGTAGTCTCAAAGCATGAAAAGCCGTAGCTACTAGAATTGTCTCACATATTTAAATTGTGTTGGCTTACCTTCTACAACTCATATTCCAACTGAAAATTCGTTACTTTGTAGTTCCTACAGAAAGCAATCTCCTATCAGTCTGTGTCTTCACTCATGCAGAATTCAGTCTATAGCCCTAATAACCCAGCAAGACATGCCCCACAGTTCAGAGCTGCTGTCCTGCTTGTAATACTGATTATGATTACAGAAGTCAGTGCTTCAACACTGAATGGAAACATCAGGTGATGCACTAGGTTTCTGTGGGAGTGGTAGCTATTATGAAATTTTTATTTTGTAACCTACTAAAACAGAAGATGTTCATGAAGAACATCATACAATGGGACACGGCTGGAATTTGATAAGGTTCATTCACAGAACAATGAACATTTTTGCTAGTGTACTTTATCTAGTGGCTGCACCATTTTGTTTCCATGATATTCAATTCTATACACAAAGGAAAACAAAGAATTGAAATAGTTGACTTCTTTGAGACTGTGTTTGATTTTCTTAGCTGGCTTTCATTTCAAAGGACTTTAGAAATAATTACATTGCTTGTTTAGAAAGATTTGATATATAATGTCTTTTCTTTTCTTATTTCACTAGAGAATTCCATAAGACTTTTAGAGATATTTATTTCAAGATTTCAAAATTTAAATGGGTATGCTGATTCTCTGATAAATGCATCCTTTATCCCAAGTGTTCATTAGACATTAAAGTTGAATGTCTTAATAAAACAAGCAATCAGTGTCTAGCAGCTTTTCCAATTCTGATATTCCAATATTAAGATTTTCTTCTTGTGACAGAAAATAATTTAATCCCTTACTGAAGCACCAAGCTAATCCAAAATTTATACATATATAAAAACATACATAAAACTGAGTATTCCCATTCACTGTTTGTTATATACACAAGAGGAGGCAAAAAATAGCATACCCTTCTTTTTCTTTTCCAGGTCACTTGAAGTGTGACTATAATCTTGCCTAATAAAACTAATGAAGGGAAGAGAAAAATAAAATATTTTCCCAGCTCCTAAAACCAATTTCTTAGACTGCCAGTCTCTGCCACTCTGCACTTCATTTCCTACCATCATACACAGTTCTGATGTCTCTGGAATTCAGTTGTCTGCTCCCAACAATCATATAGATAAAAATTGTTTATAAAAGCAATTGTGAAACAAAAATTAATTACCTCCACTACTGAAATTAGATAGTTAAAATTTAAACTATGTTAAATGTTATCCTCTTCCATGAGAACTTTTTGTTTTATGCTATTATTCAAGTCTTGTGCAGGTGTGAAACATGCCACATGAGTATATTCACACTGGCAGTAATAAGTACATAAAGGAGCAAACTAGGTTCTGTTTGCAGCTGCAGAGGATGTTGCTACATAGTGCTGCTCTGGTCCCACTGCAAGATGCTCAGGGTCCAGAAGAAATAGCACCTTATGCCACTGAGTGACAGAGCCTTTTTCAGCATGAATTGAAGATTGGAGAACTGATTCTGAGAGTGCAAAATAACACACACACAAAAAAAGGAACTCAGCCACCATAGATATTATTATTTAAGCCGTCTCCCTAATGCAGCAGAACTTCCTATGCCTTGGACTAGAGCTTTGAATTATCAATATTTAAAGAGCATTTTACAGCCCTACAGACACTGTAGTTAGAAACTACATGTACAGAAATATTTTTACATGCATAATGTACTTAAAGTTTTAAAGATAAAAGTTTTGCATTGAAAAAGCAGTAAGAATCCATTTCTGTAGTAAATGCTCTTTAAAAAGCAATGTTCTGGGTTCTACTCAGCAAATAAAAAGCTAAGGTTTCTGTTTCTGTTTAATTTTGACTGCATTTGGCTTGTGTTTGCTTCTTCATCAATGCTACAACAAACTCATTTAGCTAGGGACTATAAATTTGAAATGGTGCCATTTTTACAAGAAAGCTGCTATTATAGTCCAAGTCACTGTTGCCCTAATTACAATAATACAGCAGTTTTATATAATCTGGCCCAACAACCTAATGACAATTACTTCTTTTTTTTTATATACTTAATATTGTCTTATGTAATACAAAACATTTTTTTTATATAAATGATGCAAATTTTAAGATATTCCGTTAACAACTTCCTGCATTTTTTTTTCTGAGGTACACTTTTGCAATGCTAATGACCCTGTGATTAAATATGGACTATAAGGAGTTTAATCAGATTTTAATTAATGAACACTTCTAATGTGATTTAGCCATAAACCATTGCTGGATGTTTTACCCTGTTAGAGTCAGGTTTCATAGCTTCTCTTTGCAACAGGCTAGCAATCAGAGACACAATTAAAAATAAAGGCATTTTTATATGGTTAGGTAAGAAAATCTGTGTTTGCTGGCAAACTAAGATTAAAAGCCTTCATAAAAGTAAGATGTGTGCTCAGCCAGCGCTCTTCTGTTGTTGTGCATGTGTTTTTATGTGCAAGTCAGGATACAGATTCTGCATATTAGTCAGAAAGAAAAATGCATATGCTGCCATACGGAGTAGGAAAGCAAAGATTTTTTGGTGTGGAATGAAATAAGTGCACTGAAAAGAAATCAAACTTGCATGTTTAGAGGATGTAACATACAGTCAGTGCCAAAAATTTACATGAATCCATATTCAATGAAGCAACCATTTTGCTGAAAGACTGCAATGGCTGGTAAAACTGAAAAATGTGTCCATGATGCAAGTTAGTAGGACTATGTTTTCTCATTTTCCACGGTACTTCTGTTTTCTTTGCTTTTCTGACACTGCTTTTAGTCTGCTCTCTCTCTCTCCTTTCCAGACCTTGATGGGCCGAAATCTCCATTTCATTCAAGAGATCTGATTACAAATCTGACAGGGCATTAAGAGTATATTTGCATGAAAAAGAGCTACCATTATTTCACAACTGTTTTGTTTTT